GCAGCACGGGTGGCACTAAAGGGACCCGGGTCTGGCTCCCCTCTGCCCCTCTCAGCCTGAGCCCTGAGCCTCGCACAGGGCAGGGCAACTCGTGCCTTCTACCTCTTGGAGTCTGCACTTTATTTTTTAAATTCAAATAAAAATAAATCAAAGGATGCGTTTCCTCCCAGGATGTATCACATTCATCAAACTCACACTCTGCAAGACAGTGGCCGTGGGGCAGCCATGGTCTCCGAGCAGAGGCTGTATTTCAAGAGCCACACCCTTGAAACCAGTGGCCTGAGGACCAGCTCCGCCTCCCAAGGGGGCCAGCCACAGCCCTGTTCACGGAGACCCGTGTCGAATGAGGGCTATGCTTCTTCTTTGCTAACGGTGGTTTGGCACAGGTCAGATGAACTGTCCACCCCCCAGGCGGTCCTGGTCGCCACCAGGAGGCAAGTCTATGCTAACACAGCCCAGTGGTCCTCCCCTCCACGTAGGACGCAGACACAGAGGGCTCTGTATCTGCTGCTGCCCCTCCACGGTGCTCACCCACCCAGAACGCTGAGCCTCCCATGTGGCCCCCGCCCCGAAGGTTCCCCCATTTCCAAGATGCTTTTGTGGGCACAGTGCCCAGCTCCGGGAGCACCCTCTCGCCTGTCCCCAAAGCACCTTCGCACTTCCCCGCGCGGCCAGCAGAGGGCAGCAGGCAGCCGAGGAAAGGTGGGCAGGGCCTGGGTCCCGCCAGTGCGGCCGCTGGCGGGGCAGCCAGAGCCCCTCGGCCACATCCTCCAACCTCGCCCCCGCTTTGGCAGTAAGCGCTGGGGGCCGTAGCATGATTCCCCTCCTCTCTAAAGCTCAGCGACTAAAATCACCCACATTTAGACACAGGCGACAGTTTTCAGAGATTCTGCCTGTCTTTTCTTGCGACCGCGTGACCTCTTGCGGCCGAGCGGGGATGGCCGATGCTCCTGTCTGCCAAGCATGAGGAGACAAACTCGGGCCCGGGATCCCTACGGGCCTGCGGCTGGAGACGCAGAGCAGGATTCGGAAACTTGTGACTCAGAGTCCAAGCGCCTCGGCGCCCCCGTCCCCCGGAGGGACGTGTGGACACCGGCACCCAACCGGGGCTGAGCACTCTGGTCACCACGCTCACAAAACAGGGGCCGCCTGGGGCGCCCATCCCAACTGCGCTCGCCCACTTTAGAGCAATTCCCAGGGGCTGCTGTAACGGGGTCCACACCTCCAAGTTCACGACCACGTGCTGGGACTTGTTTTTAGAGCTCAAACAGCTCCTGGGAACCAGCACGATCCAAGGTTGGGGCAGGTGGGAAGGGCACACCCTTGCACTTTGCATTTTCAGTTGATTCTGGAACTCTGTCTCAACTTGGGGGCGTGAGACCCAGTAGCGTGCCCGAGTGAACCCCTAGGTGTAATGGGCGCTTTGCACCTCACGAGGCCAGTGTCTGAAGCTGACGGTCGCCGCAGGCAGAAAGAAAGAGTTCAAGAAAAGGGGTCTCATCACAAGGCATATCTGAGCTGATGCAGGAGACGGAGGACAAACATGTGGGTTCTGGAGCGCAGCTGGGGTGGGCGGGCCCTTTCCTCCCGGGGCCTTCTGCAGCCTCTCAAAGTCACCTGATCAGTCAGGCTGACTCGTCTCCCTCAGGAGGCTGGGAGACTCAGATTGCCAAGGAGCCTTTGAAGAACAAAGATCTTTTTCAATGTACAGAATTCCTAAGTTACTAAGATAAATGGGGGAAGATTTGACATTTCTCGCACATAATTTAAAATTCAAATCTGCTTCCAGTAAAGGAAAATTACAAGATATTCTGAACTGCGATTCAGATCCTTTTGCTGACATGAGGGCTCGAAGCTGCTTTAGATCTGCCTTAATTTCTATCATCTGGAGAACAAAGCCACATTATGGAATATCATGAAGCTAATGTTTTTATGTTTGAAAGGAAGTTATTCTGGATCCTTTCATTCTGCGTAAATTTCTGAGAGTCACCCCTCTTGTTTGTATCTGTAGCTGCTTCCCTGTCATTACTGAGAAGTATTCCCTTGTATGAATAACAGTAAGCTAGACTCTAATATGCACCAGGCATTTCACAATCTGGCCATGAGATCTACAAATAATAAAACAAGAAAAATGCTTTGCGATACCCAGTGACTTGTAAACACCAATCAGAGTCCAGAGTAACTCACTGGATATTTAAAGTTCGCTGGCATTATGCAACAGAATGGTTTAAAATCTCTTGATATCAGCTGAGGCACAGTGGGACACAAAGGAGGCAGCTCTCTTTTCAGGAATATGTTCCTTTTGTGTTATTTTTGTTGTTTTAAGATTTTAATTTAATGGTAGCTAATTAACCAAAGAGTGCAGTCTAAACTAAAACTAATTCTCTTGCTATCACTTCCAAAGACCTATCTTTAACACACATTAAAGCAATTGCATATAAGAGAGTCTGAGAGTTAACCTGGGTTTTCAACTGCTCAAAGACCAGCTAAATCTATCAGTAAAAAAGGAGATTACAGCCCCACTTCTCCACTCCTATTCACAACAAAGGATTGTTGCCCCTCACTTCCTTCACTCTCGTCTTACTTTCTCTTCAAGCCTCTCAAGTGGGATGCACCAGCCACTCCACAGTGACTGCTCTTGTCACAGTAAGGGCGTCCCAGCTGCTACAACCAAATGGTCCCTCCTTGGAGCTCCTCCCACGGAGCTTGAGAGCAGACCCCTTCCTGCCCCGTCTTCATGGGCTCGGGACCCCACGCGCTCCTGGTTCTCCAGCCCACCTCCACGTGGCTCCTCCTCCTGGGCTCTGTCCTCGGTCCTCTTCCCCACTTACTCTCCCTCCTGGGGTGAGCTCACCCAGTCTCTTCTGGCTTGAAATGTATCTCGATGCTGGCGCCTCCAGAACCTACAGCTCCAGGTCGCGACTTCCCCAAGAGCTCCACGTCTGGGTGTGCAGCTACCTTTGCAACCGCTGCGCAAGTTCACAACCAATCTCTCAATCGGCCTGCACCCCTGCACCGGCCCAGCCATTCTTCCTGCAGCTGTTCCCATCTCGGCACCAGGAAACTCCCTTGGACCGGGTGCTCAGACCAGGGATGCAGTCATCCCCAAGTCCCTTCTTTCTCACACCGCAACCACTTCACAGTCAGCCCCCGGGGCGCTCCGCCTTCAAAATGCCTATCTCTGAAGACTGACCGGTTCTCAAGCCCTCTCCCCAGGACCACCACATCCATGACCACTTGACCGTCATCCCTCTGCCTGGACGACCTTGGCTCCCTACAGTGCATCCTCAGCAGAGCAGCCACAGTGGCTCCGTTCAAGGCCAAGTCAGCCGTGACCCTTCCCTGCTCATGGCCCCATAGCTTCCTATCTTGCCTGGACTCCATCCTGCTTCCCGGCACAGCCTCCTCCCGATGTCCGCGTGGCTGCCTCACCTCCTCGAGGTCTTCTCCAGTCACCCTGTTTAAAACTGCAACCTAGATGCACTCCCTTGCCCTCCTTCCTTGCTTTATTTTTCTATCCAACTTCATCTGACTTACTACCTATTTTGCTTTACTCCTGCTATTTTCTTTTATTTTATATATAAATTTATTTATTTATTTTATTTATTTATTTTTGGCTGTGTTGGGTCTTTGTTAATGTGCAGGCTTTCTCTAGTTGCGGTGAGCAGGGGCTACTCTTCGTTGTGGTGTGTGGGCTTCTCATTGTCGTGGCTTCTCTTGTTGCGGAGCACGGGCTCTAGGCGCACAGGCTTCAGTAGTTGTGGCACACGGGCTCAGTAGTTGTGGCTCTCAGATTCTAGAGTGCAGGCTCAGTAGCTGTGGCACAAGGGCTTAGTTGCTCCGTGGCATGTGGGATCTTCCCGGGCCAGGGCTCGAACCCATGTCCCCTGCATTGGCAGGAGGATTCTTAACCACTGCGCCACCAGGGAAGCCCACTCCTGCTATTTTCTGGATCCCTAAACTGAGATGTAAGCTCCCTGAGGGTAGGCATTTGCTCTGTTTACCCCCGCATCTCCAGGGCCGTGAACAGTGTGGCACATAGCACGAGCTGATCAAAAAATAATATTTGTTAAGTGGACAAATGTTCCTGATTTGGAATGATCATCTTCTAGAGATGCCACATGGTAACTACCAACTTCACAATATCACTGAAAGGAGTTATGATTTCGGACACATAAATCCCACAAATGAATAATCCCTCCGTAGGCCACAGAAAACACACCCAGGAATGAAGGAACGAACGATGGGCACGCTGTACCGCAACACCGTTTCCCTAAGATTGTACACTGATGGGGGCTCAAGGAATCCTGGTAGACAACGTGAGCTCTGTGCAGGGCTGCCGTCAAAGGTGTACACTGATTACCGGGACTCCAGCTGTGTCCGAGGAGAGTGATTTGCAGTGCGGCCTGGGTCGGTGGGCCGGCATGATGCTCTCAGGTGCTGGGCGCTCCAGGTGCGGCCCGGCCCGGAAGCTCCGCCCACCGGCCACTGAGCGCGCTCCCCATTGGCTGCTCCGCCGAAGGATCGCGCTCTCATTGGCAGAAGGCTCTAGGAACGGGCCCGGTTCGGCCTCGCGGCCTCCAAAACTCCCCAGAGGGACGGACGGCCGGCAGCGGACCCGCGGCTGATCTTCAGGGGAGCACCAAGCTCCGGGCTCACAGCCGCCCATCGGCCGGGGCGTCCCCGGCGGCCCTGAAGCCCCGTTCCCAGGGAGCGGGGCGCGGCGCAGGTCGCGCAGACGCAGTCGGCGCACCGGGAGGACCCACGCCCCCGCGGCCGTGCGTCCCGCCCCGCCCCGCCCCGCTCGGAGACTCCCGGAGGCCCCGCCCCCGCCCCGGCCGTCGGAGGCGGCGGGGGATGACGTCATCGAGCGGGACGACGGGCATTGGGCGCCATTTTGAAAAGGGAAAAAAAAATACGGCGGCGGCGGCGGCGGCGGCCGGGCTGAGGTGCTTGGGCGGCAGCAGCGCGGCGGCCGCCTCGTACGTCCGCCGCCGCCTCGGCGCCCGGCCGCGCCCGGCCGCGCGCCGGCCGACCGGCCATGGCAGGTGAGGGCCCGCGCGGGGCGGGGCCGGGAGCGGGCGAGGGGCGAGGGGCTAGGGGCGCGAGCCTGACGCGCCCGGTGTATCCGCAGGAGCCGGAGGCGGCGGCTGCCCTGCGGGCGGCAACGACTTGCAGTGGTGTTTCTCGCAGGTCAAGGGGGCCGTGGACGAGGACGTGGCGGAAGGTAAGGCCGTGCACCTGGGCGCTCCGGGGCCCGGCTGGGCCGCTCCTGGCCGGGGCGCGGGGCGGGCGCGCGATCGGAGGTCCGGTCCGCCGGGGAGGCGACGCCGGCCCGGTCCCTAGGGGAGGCGGCCCCGGGGGTTATGTCAGGGGCCCAAGGTCGCGGAGCGCGCAGATGTCGGGTCTCCCGAGTGGATTTTGGGTTCTTTGCGCTGCAAGTGGCTGCCTCCTGCGTTTGTTGGAGCTCCGGAAATAACTGCAGAAGCCGGGGACTCGAGAAACATAAGCTTGGGGTAACTGCAGACTGGCAGGAGTCGGGTGGGGAATCGCTCCGGCCTGGGTCAGGTCGGGGCCTCTGTCCAGTCACCTGTGCGATGGGGGCATCCTGTCCGGCCTCAGTTTCTTTTTTAAAAACAGGGTCGGACCCCTTGGTGCTTTAGATTGCTTTCTAAGGTTCCGAAGTTTTTCAGTTTTCTTATCAGCTCTTTCTCCTTCTCCGGCGGCGTGTCTTAAAGTTCCTGCTGCAGATTGCACCTTTGAACTTTGCGGTGTTGAAGTTGGTTGGTCTTTTCCGTAACGATGGTCGCAGGGGAGCGGCGTTGCGGGGGGCGGGGGCGCTTCCCACGGCGCCGCGTGTCGTCCTGAAGGAAGAACGCCTAGACTCGTGCCCGTGCGCGCGGTGCAGCGGCTCGGGAGTGTAAAGTCAGGCAGTGACTCTTTTGCTGTTGTTCAGCCGTCTTACTCAACATGGTGAGCCTTTAATCCTCTCTTAAAAAGTTTTTGTGTTTGCGTGAGCTACACCTTCTTTGCCCCAAGTAACTAGCAGCCTCTGGTCAGGTGTCCTGCGCCTTTCCTCCACCGTGCCCAGTCCCGTGACCCTTGGCTCCGTCCTCCTTTGCTCTGCACCTCCCCCTGGCAGAGTGACATCTGGAGATCCTCTGACATCTGGAGACAAGCAGTGCCCAGATCAGTAAGCAGGTAAAACGGTGCTTCAGGAATTTGTGAAGATGTATCTGACTTGAGATTGAGATTTTTCTTTACATTCACATAAGGTACGTTTTTTTTTCACTTTGCAGTGCCAAGTGGGTGACCGGTCAGCTTACTCAAAATTCCTATCAGGGATAAAGCAAAACCCATTTACTCACGGGTGGGAAGGTGGGAGGGCTTAATGCCTGTCTTAGCTTCTGGTTTCTTTCCCTTTTTAAGAAGGTTTAGTTGATAAGCCGAATGAATTAAAATGTAAGTCTAACTAAAATGGTGTATTTTAAGTGTGATGTTACACTTCGAAAATGGTATTCTTTACTTTTAAAAGTCTTGACGGAAATATTTTGTTCTCTGAATCAAACTGGAACTTTTTGCAATTTTACATCCCTACTTTAAGTAAAATTTTGACTACATCTAAAAGTTTGGTATTTTGAGTTACCTATTTTGTAAGATCGCTTTGTGGTAATTACCACATTTTGTTTGTTTGTTTGTTTTGCGGTACGCGGGCCTCTCACTGCTGTGGCCTCTCCCGTTGCGGAGCACAGGCTCCAGATGTGCAGACTCAGCGGCCATGGCTCACGGGCCCAGCCGCTCCGCGGTATGTGGGATCCTCCCGGGACTGGGGGCACGAACCCGCATCCCCTGCATCGGCAGGCGGACTCTCAACCACTGCACCACCAGGGAAGCCCCACATGTTTTTTTGATCGTGTGTATTCACAGCTCTCTTACTTCATACTTAATCCTCTATCAGGGTTAACACATTTATAACATTCATTATTTTGTCAAGTAGTCGTGATACTACCTGTTTGAATTGTACTATTTCCATAAAAGTCCATGAGAAAGAAGAAAAAAGTAATTGTTAACAGCTAGCGACTGTTAAGCAACGAGAATAAAGAAGCTGGTGGTGAAGCGTGTGCCCAGACTCAACCTTGGTGAAGAAGTGTTGATAAGAGATAATTAACGGGAGATGTAATTTAAGGGAGGTCACTGGACGTCAATACTTGGACTGTAGGACTAGAGGTATAGTAAATTTATTTGTGCAGATTTGTGGGTGGTGAGGTGTTTCGCTCTTTAAGGTTTTGCTCTGTTCCAAGCTCCACTTTGCAGAGTTCTCCGCTAACCCTAAATTTCGTGCCGTCTTTCTGCTTTCCGCTGCTGTGAGTGATCAGAAAGTGACTGAGGTGGGCCTCTCCTTGCCTGAGTATGGACATGAGGGGTACAGGGGCAAGTGGGGTCTCCCCTGACTTTTGAAGGTTGGGGAGTGCGTATAGTGGAGAGAGGCTTTTGATTTCCTTTTTGTTTTTAAAGCTAATAGAGTTTGGGGGGGACACCTGAAGAAAGTATTGTAATGTGTAAAATTTGATGATGGCTTTTTTTTTTATAAAATATGTCTTTATTAGAGTATATATATATATATATTTTTTTTTTTTTTTTTTAGAAACAGCGTTTTGCTAGTGGGTCAGGTCAGCCCATCGTGCTATCAGGGATTTCCCATCTTCCTGCAAATAGGGATAGAGGTGGGCTCAAGAGGAAACTAGCAATTGTTCTGCTAGTGACAAGATGCGTGAGTGACAGTCCCTGGTGACTTGCCCCCTCTCCTTCCCCTATGACAAGCTGGCCAGGGTGGTAGGCATCGCCTCTGAAGGTGGAATAGGTGAGCTTTTATGCCTAGATGAACAAAGAGTCAAAATAGTAAAACCCGGGGGAGGCTTCCAGAAGGGAGTGAGAAAGTAGTTGTTGGCCTGTACCTCCAAATACTTATGCTCTAGACAATGACTACTCTTTGGAAGTTGTTAAATATTTATACAGGTTTTTCACGCGTGATGTTTAGTCACCATCACCCAGCCCCACTCCCTTTTCTTGGGCAACACTCACTGCATGAACATCTTTTGCAGGTGTTGGCACACGATATTACAGTCCTTCGCTGCTCTGTCTTCAGCAGTGTGAGCTCTACTTAAAGCTTGAGGGCTAGGTGCCCCTCCCTCGCCCCACAGCCTTGTAGAAGACCCAGCCTGGAGGTAAAGATGGTTAAGTCTTATTATGTTCCCGAGGTTGCTTCAAGTTACTTGTGCCCATTAATTCAGTCTTCACACAACCCTGCAAAGGAGGAACTCTTGTTCTTCCCAGTTTTAGATGTGGAAGCCAAGGCCCAGAGGACAGATGACTTGGTCAGCAGAGTGGCCAAGCCAGCTCTGGAAGCTGGGCTCCAGGGCCCATGCATGGTGTGCTGCATCAGTGACCGTTTGTGGCCGGTACTGTTGAAGGCCCACTGCGGGGTGCGGCTCCCCAGCCGTGGGATTGCTCTGTCCTTCCAAAGCTCAGGAGAGGTCTCACTACCAAGAATTAGAGGAAACGACCTCTGAAAGCAAATGAAAATGAGCTGTCTTTAAAGGGAGTGCCTATCAAAATGGTCTAAGATTAGTAACAAGGCTTTCAGAACGGGCATCCTCAAAGTATTTTAAGAATAGATACTACAGAGACAGTAAGCAGGGGGAACATCTGAATGTCAAGTGAGTGATACGGTAGCCTTGCCTGCCGAGCTACTCTCACAGGACCTCAGCTGGCCTCTTGCAGGGAAGCTCTGGGTCTGCTGCTTTTGTACATTCATTGCTCTTCTGATTTTCTGGAGGAACGGGGGAACGGGTTAGAGGAGGGAAGGGCTTGTCATGAACTACTGCCTGGATTGACATAGTTTTTTGCATAGCTTGAGAGCAGCTGGTTCTTTTCATCTCAGAGTGTGTAGGTTTAAGTGTCTAGACTTTCTATTTGATGATTTTATTTTAACCGGTTTCTTCATCCACGATCTAATCTATTGCTTTGAATTAGACATTAATCTTTTTCTAAAGACATAATGCTTAACAAAACTAAAGGTTCATCTGCTTAATTCAAGCTTGAGTCTGGGAAGTTGTGTAAATAATGTAGGTTTCTGGGTAATCTGGTATGGCCAGCCTTTCTGAAAGGGTTTACATAGATGTTATGAAAGAAAGAAACATTTAAATTGGCAAAGGGTAACAAAAATTAAGAGCACTTGGGCGTCAGTAGCAGGAAGTTATTGTGTTTCATTGAATATAAGATACATGTGATTTCAAAGATGTGAAAATGAAAGAAAATGTGCTTCTTAGAATCAATGAAATACCATATTTGTGAATGCAAAACTTTTCAGTCGGGCTTCCCTGGTGGCGCAGTGGTTGAGAGTCCGCCTGCCGATGCAGGGGACACGGGTTCGTGCCCCGGTCTGGGAAGATCCCACATGCCGCGAAGCGGCTGGGCCTGTGAGCCATGGCCGCTGAGCCTGCGCGTCCTGAGCCTGTGCTCCGCAACGGGAGAGGCCAGAACAGTGAGAGGCCCGCGTTGCGCAAAAAAAAAAAAAAAAAAACTCAGTCATAGTCATTATTTCTAGAGTACTGTGATAGTTTTTTCCTGTGGAGAGTCTGCCTTAAAGAAATCAGATGTGTATGGTTTTTTTAAGATTAATGCATTCAGTGTACCTACTGAGCACAGCTACATTGTAGTGTCTCTGAAATCAGGCTGTGCATTCAAGAAGCTGGACTGATCTTAGTTAGATAATCAGGTGCAGGTTTATGGTAGTATCAAATCATACTCCTTGATTTCTTTATTCCTTGATTTTAAAAATCTGTTGTTTTGATGAGAAGTTCTGGGTTCAGTTCATGTCTGCTGTTTATCAAGCTTGAAGGCCCTTTCTAAACCTCAACTTGCTTATCTAGAAATCACATCATAAGATTTTTGTTGAGATAAAACAGTGCTGTGCTTTTGAACCTGTAAGGTGTTGTTGAAGTGTTAGGTACAGCTGTTCACTAATTTTCATGTATTTTAAGGTGTTTGGGTTTAGTTGTAGCTATATTTAAATGTGAAAGTAGCAGTCTCTTAGTTTTTCCCGACCTCCCGCAATCTCTCCACTCACCCCAGATCCCTTCCATAGGGCCTGACCTCTTGGTTTTTCCATCATTATTCAGTGATCTTCCCACGCCTTGATCTTGGCTCATATTTCTTTCCCAACGT